TTACTGCTGCTGTTACTGCTGCTGCTGCTGCTGCTGTTACTGCTGCTGTTACTGCTGCTGCTGCTGCTGCTGCTGCTGCGGTTGCTGCTTGCCTGCCTCCATGCTTCACCCTCTCCCGTGCGAGCAATCGGCTGGCAGCCGTGTTGACAAGCAGGACCATGAGGAGCAACGATGATGCAGGCACGCCTAAACCGTACAGCCGCCGGTATGGCTTGCTTGCTTGTTTTGTGGCGCAGACGACATGAGTAATCCCGTAAAAACAACATAGAAAACGAGAAAAAAAGATGGGAGGGAGAGAGAAAAAGAGAGCGAGAGAGAGCGAGAGAGAGAGAGAGAGAGAGAGAGAGAGAGAGAGAGAGAGAGAGAGAGAGAGAGAGAGAGAGAGGAGATAATTAGATATACAATAATATCTTTGAGGCATTCAATGACTTGTTTTAAATACTGACGTTGACAGTATATGACGTGTATATGGTGGGTGTCTCCATTCATCGGATCACTATTGTGTCAGAATTGCCCTATTACGTATACGGTGCATTATTTCTTTCACAGCGTGATACCAAGAGATTGTTATAAACATAATAGTATTATTTTTCAAGTTAACAAAGGCGGATCATTCAGATTCGTGTACTTTCATCGCTGCCTCACTGCGTTTTTACTGATTTTTTTGCTACACGACAAAGACGTATATATATATATATATTTATTTATTTAATTAATTATTTACGCGTGTGTGTACGTGTGCGTGCGTGTTGCTCACTTCTAGTGGAAATTATCACCAATAAACGAATAGAAACGAGACACCAACTAAGCATGTATACAAAGAAAAATAGCCGACCTCACAGTGTTAGCACTCGATTCCCAGTAACACGAACCCACGTATACTAAAACCGAACATTTTCTGTATACACAAGTTGATGCTAATACCGAATATGCACGTGACACGTGACTAAAGCGACGCAGCATCATTGGTAGAACGAAGCTTCACATGAGATAACTATAACACAGAGGATAAACATCATTTTCACCTACCAAATATCTGTACCTTGCTAACATTCAGTGTTGCTGAACAATAAATATTGCATAAACTTTGCTGAAGTCTACTAATAAACTATAATAACGGTATAGGTTACGCTGGTGTCTGATGGAATGTTCTTTTTGTGTAGATAGAAGTCATTTAGACCTTATTTGATGTTGCCAGGTCAAAATATACCAAATATAGACGAAAAATACGAGTAAAGCGGCGAAATGTGAGGTATGCTTTGTGTGCGTGGAAATAAAGTGACTAACAGTAACGTACACATATGCGTAGAGTAACTGCTAAAGAGAGTGTCTGCTTGTTAATAATTACGCTGCATAATACTGTCCTTGAGAAAATACGTAAACAACCTTGTGAATTGACTACGACTTGGACACGACATCATATCGGAACCTTATCTCATACGTTAACGTCATATAGATCACTCTCTTCTCGATATACCTCATGAACGATTAACAGAGGCCTATACTATAATTCGAAATTTTTCACAGTTAGGCTGAGAACTTCATGATCGATATCACGCAATGAGTGAAGCCCTATACCACGAGTGAAACCATTTGTGTTTTAATGAATTTCTCTGTAACTGTGACTTCCTCTGTGTGAGTGAATCTCGCTTAGTGGCTGCATCTCTCTTCGTCAGTGAATTCCACTGCGAGTATAAACCACACTGCATGAGTTCATCCCTCTGCCCAACTGAATCTCGCTTAGTGATAGCATCTCTCTTCGTCAGTGAATTCCACTGCGAGTATAAACCACACTGCATGAGTTCATCCCTCTGCCGGACTGAATCTCGCTTAGTGATAGCACCTCTCTTCGTCAGTGAATTCCACTGCGAGTATAAACCACACTGCATGAGTTCATCCCTCTGCCGGACTGAATCTCGCTTAGTGATAGCACCTCTCTTCGTCAGTGAATTCCACTGCGAGTATAAACCACACTGCATGAGTTCATCCCTCTGCAATGAGCTGGCGTGTGAATGCCGTCTTGCATTGGCGCTAGCAATCTCTTCCACAATCCATGCGCCCAAACACGGAAACGTCAAGGGCTCAATCGCGTTGGATTGTGTTTCATCATCAAGCATCGTTTCTTATCGGAAGTCATATCCGATGTCCACCGTTTCGCCCGCGACCTCCTGGTTACGCGATTGGTCAGTTTCGATATCTCGCTCCTTCCATCTCGGCAGTTCCTGTCGTACGCTAAAAGGAAGAGCTGAAAGCAGTTTACATCAACACTCGGCTTTGCATTGACCTTTGAGTATTATTTAAAAGACAGGAGAAACCGTCACATCGGTTTTCATAGACGTTGTTATGTACACTTAGTATAAGTAGTATATAGTACATTCTGTAGTGAAAGTTAGGATATAGGCGTTGATTTGTGGGCTAGAAATCAGGGAAGCGAATGGCTTACGATTTGTCCGATGTTTTTTTCACTACATCTTCCTACATGTGTGTGTTTTATGCTGCTTATATACAACATGTCTTGACCCTTCACACTACCTATAGATCGTAGTTCTTAATCTTTTTGGCCCACGACCCATCCAGACATTCTTTGGTCAGACGGGTGAAACACACAAAACCAATATTTTTTAAACCAGCGCCGATTTATATAGATTAATGGATTTGTTCATTCTATGACATCTTATGACCTCGGATAAGCCCAACCGACCCATGGGGGTTCGACGGACCCCGGTAAGAACCGCACTGCTTTAGATCGCGTCTGACAATAGTTAACTCTGGCAACTTATATGTGAAAGTCTCATAATCTGGCCTATATAAGTGAAATCTATATCTGGCACTTATAGTGAAATTCTATCTGCGCACTATTAAGTGAAAATCTCATATCTGCCGACTATATACTGAAAGTCTCATATCTGCCACTATTATAGTGACAATCTCTCTATTGGCCAACTATTATAGTGAAATATCATATCTGGCACTATATAGTGAAATCTCATATCTGGCACTATATAGTGAAATATCATATCTGGCACTATATAGTGAAATCTCATATCTGGCACTAGTCTCCAGACGCCCGAAGAATTCATTTCAAGACCGACGTGTCTCGTCGCTGCGAAGAAGATTTGGGAGAGATCCGTCGTAATGCGGGGGACACACCATGCGAATTTATTCGCACGCCGGCAGCGATTGTAAAATCGCAGCGAAATTCGCACGGTGTCCGCTCAAACGCGGGCGAATTTTGCTGCGAATTTCATCCGCACCGAAATTCGCAGGGATCAATCGCTGCGGATGTGCGGACGTGCGAATATAGACCGTCCCCGGTCCCCGGTATGGTACCGGTCCCTTCTCACAAGCTCGATATAGGCCTACCAGTCTAGTGCAAATAATGGCCGATTGTTATAATGCAGCGAATCATTGATCAGTATGGTAATCACGTGACTACATGATTGTTGGAGCCATGTGGCGCCAGTAGATCGCGTGTGGTGTGTACGCTGCGGAAGTGCGAATAAATTTGCATGGTGTGTCCGCTCAATTATCGCATGCGGGTGCGAATATTTTCGCCGCGATTTTTGCTGCGGATATGATCGATCGCCGCGGACGTGCAAATAAATTTGCATGGTGTGTCCGAGGCTTAATGGCGGCTTCTCTGCTCACCTGCTGCGTGAAGCGTCGAGTGAAGAACGGGTTCAGATAGCGCACATCGAGCTTCACGAAACCCGTCAGGTGGGGTCGCACAAAGTTCACCTCGTATTCCTGGTCAGTCATCTCGGATAGATGCTCCGAGTCGACTGCGTCACCCTGTTCGTTCAAATTCCGAGCAGTTCAGAGAATGTCTGTACACATGCCATCGCGCACGAAGCATTTAAACTAACTAATTAATAGATGAATTAAATTTTCTTTATTAATTTTCTTTTTAATTTAATTCTAACTGGGCATTGGGTAGATACAATAATGTAACCCAAACCCAAGAGGATAGGGTTACAAAGTGTCCCTATCCTTTTCTGCGGAGGAATGCCCGAGTGAATCACTCGGGCCGGTTTGCTGGTGCGTTTTCAGATACTAGAACTTCCAAACTGGGTTTATTCTCAACACGAACCTTTCTCCGCTATTCGGGAACTTACAATGTATCGCAATACTCTGTATTAAACTAATATAACCTGTTACAAAAATTCGAAGTGACGAGCGGCGAATATACTGAGCGCCATTTCTGTTGACCTGTGACGTACGCATTTCCCAATGCGCATAGCGATCGGCAAACGCAGCGCCCTCCGATTGGTCGGTGAATCCACTCTTCAAACCGAAGTACGTCACAGGTCAACAGAAATGGCGCTCAGTATATTCGCCGCTCGTCACTTCGAATTTTTGTAACAGGTTATATTAGTTTAATACAGAGTATTGCGATACATAGTAAGTTCCCAGATAGCGGAGAAAAGTTCGTGTTGAGAATAAACCCAGTTTGGAAGTTCTAGTATCTGAAAACGCACCAGCAAACCGGCCCGAGTGATTCACTCGGGCATTCCTCCGCAGAGAAGGATAGGGACACTTTGTAACCCTATCCTCTTGGGTTTGGGTTACATTATTCTAACTGGGCATTGGGATGCTTCGAAAGTGGGGTTGTTAAAGGGACAGGCATTGGAATTTCAGCTGGTGCTGCGACTACATGTACATGTGCACAAGTACAAATGCATAAAACAGTACCCAGTGCTCAATACGTGCGAAAACCTGTGACTATTATTGCTCAAAGTATATGTGACCAATCGTGTGTATTGCGAGTGATGGTTGAAACGTTTCATGCAGGGCATCAATTATCAGCAGGCTAAAGTTCTGGGCAAAACTGAGAATGCCTGAAAGTACCTATATGCGAATTCCCCTTTAAGTTGCTCTACACAAGTAGTAGTACAATAATGCCAAGTATTATACTATACAATGCTAATATAATGCTATATAATGCTATAATGCTAATAATAATATAATGCTAATAATATTTATTAATAATATAATAATAATAATAATAATAATATAAATAATAATATATATAAATATATAATAATATGATCCTAATAATAATAATAATAATAATAATAATAATAATAATAATAATAATATTATAATGCTATATAATGCTAAGTAGTAAGTACTATACTACACAACTATAATGAACCACTACCCATAATTACATAATAACTAAGGCATATACATGTCATTAATGGTTGATTGGGTTATCACCACGAAACATTTATATAATCCTTTACCTATCAAGCTTCCCAACAATTTAAAAATTTTCACAAACGAATGCTATTATGTAAATCACAGAAATTAATTTGCCATGCACGCAGCAGAAGATCTACTAACGTTTTTTTTATTGTCATTACGTTGTCTTTACGTCATTAAGGTTGTTTTATCGTTGTTGTGCTTTCACACGGCTAGTTACAATGAAGTCAGACCATGTATGCTATACAACTGACTATGCTGGATACCCTACATGAACCCAGTTAATTTCCTCTCTGCGGATGTTGGATGTTTACCATAACAACAACAACAGCAACAGGATTATTATTGAAACGGCACCGTGAATGGCGGCTAACCGCAACCGGCTTTGAAATAACCTAATTATAGAATCAATACTATTCACAGAGTTGAGTATTTTCCTGGAAATGCAGGGGGCACATATTCCTAATGAAATATGCTATATACAGTGTAGCCCCGTTATAACGCGATGGTTGGGGTCCATAAAATGTCATCGCAAAAAAAGCGGGGTCGCACTATATCGGGGTTATATATACGTGGCTATAAAAGCGCAAGAAAAAGGGGGTCCAACGACTCATCGCGTTGTATCCGAATTCGCGTAAAATCGGGGCGCGTAAAATCGGGGTTCCACTGTATAACGTTA